AGACTTCCTGTATACGATAAATTCGAGAGGACTCGGTGATCGAAGAGTACTCCGCGTTTGACGCGGGTCTCTCATCTCCAGTCGCTCTAAGATGTCCAAACGGAGCTTCAGGCGGTCATACCCCTGACGGTCCCTCGCCCTCACATCACGCAAATCCGAGGTCAGTCGCGAGACTTGACTCTCGAGATCTGCCACATGCCTCTTCAGCGCAGAGGACTTAGCCTGCGACTGAACAGCAGCAGGATAGGCAGCCGCGAGTAGGTGTGCGTAATCGCCACTCCTATCGGTCGCCATCTGTGTTGGTGTACACGGAAGGGAATACGCGCTTCCTTGTTGGAAGGATGTTGGCCCACCTGTTTGTGAAGCGAAAGCTTCAAATCCTTGTCCAATGGAAGGGTTACCCAACGAGCTTTGACTTGTGGGAGCCTGTGGATGCTTTGCGTGTCGACGTGCCTGGGCTGGTGGCTGCTTACGAGCAGAAGCACCAGCTGCATTTGCTCTGCTAGATCCAGATGGACTAGTAAGGGCGGCGTAGTGTGGTGGAGTGGGATTTGTAAAATTGCTGATGCGATTCCAACTCTCCACTGGCGCCCGGACGACCGACTAACGGAGGGGGTACCCCGATTCCGTGTATAAAGCCTTCCTCACCTTGTGTACCCGTCGGTAGGGCGGGTTGCTCTCTTCTCGGTGGACTTGAGTCGATGTTGATCCTAATTGGGTTAGGGATAGGGGGTTTGGTTATCTTGCGGAAATCTTCACAAGATAAACCGAGTACTTGGTGTGATCTTCCCAATCGATCACGGTTATCCAATAAAACGAAGCTTGAATCTTCTGACCACTTGAGCAGAACCTTATGACCACTTGATCCGTCCTGCACTTGCTTCGCCTTGCCCTACGTGTTTTATCTGCGTCCGATCGCAGTTGAGTTGTGTTGAGAGTTCTTGCAATCCCTGGCCAAACAATCCAGGGATATGACTTGCGTAGTGTGTAGGCTTCCTCGAGACGTCGGGTGGCCAAAGAATCCAGCCCGGAAGAGAAGTCGACACGTGTACTTAGAAGTAAAATTGAACTCTGTTTAGTGTTAACCAATCAAAACTCGAAACCTACGATTCTGCCTATCTGTATTCCAGGATCTATCACCACGTGTCACCCTTTCAGGAAAAATCAGATCTCGATATGTGGTCCACCCCAAATGCCTTTGCCATCCCGATCCATCGGCGATCTTGCCTTATCTTTGGATCGCGATCCGAATCAGATCGCGTATCAGCTCAGGATCGCGGTCGATCCATAATGCGTAATCCTTGTGAGTTGGATCGCGATCTAGGTCGGATCGCGGACCTACGTTGTATCGCGATTCTGAGTCGGATCGCGCTATACCTTGGATCGCGGTTCTGATTCGGATCGCGATTCTAAGTCGGATCGCGGTCTACCTTGGATCGCAGTTTACCTTGGATCGCGTTCAGCCTTGGATCGCGGTCCTGATTCGGATCGCGGTTCTGAGTCGGATCGCGGTCTACCTTGGATCGCGTTCAGCCTTGGATCGCGGTCCTGATTCGGATCGCGGTTCTGAGTCGGATCGCGCTCAGCCTTGGATCGCGGTTCTGAGTCGGATCGCGTTCAGCTTTGGATCGCGGTTCTGAGTCGGATCGCGATTCTAAGTCGGATCGCGGTTCTGAGTCGGATCGCGATTTTAAGTCGGATCGCGGTTCTGAGTCGGATCGCGTTTTCCAAGTTGGATCGCGGTTCTGAGTCGGATCGCGTTTGTCAAGTTGGATCGCGGTCTATGTTGGATCGCGGTCTGCCTTGGATCGCGTTCAGCCTTGGATCGCGGTCCTGATTCGGATCGCGGTTCTGAGTCGGATCGCGATTCTGAGTCGGATCGCGCTCAGCTTTGGATCGCGGTTTTGAGTCGGATGGCGGTTCTAAGTCGGATCGCGCTTAGCTTTGGATCGCGGTTCTGAGTCGGATCGCGGTTCTGAGTCGGATCGCGTTTTCCAAGTTGGATCGCGTTTTCTGCACAATGTTTCGGGATCGATCCTTGATGTGTGATCCACATAACTTGGATCGCGATCTACAATTTATGAAAATTGTTTACTCGCTCCTCCACAGTGAATAACAGAATCACGGATCGCGGATCCACCTGAATACTAAGATTGCAGTGCGATCCAGACTTGGATCGCGGTGCTATCCAAACTCGATAGCGATACGATATGTATCTCGGATCATGATTTGTCTATTACAATTAATTGAGGCCGCGATCCACACTTTGAGAAATTCCAATATTCCGCATTCAAGTAAAATCCGTGCAATTTTAATACATCCAGTTGGATCAACCGATACTGGAACCAAGTATATCCAAGCGGTGATCTATTCCATGATAATCCAATATAACATGGAAATATGATCCATGCCACGATCAACGGTACTTTTCCATTCGATCATCCATAAATTACGATCGACTCCACCACACCCAATAAGTCATTTTAGTAAGTGACTTAGTGGTGGACAGGGAGCCGACCGTTAGCGGGAAAGGGGTCCAACCGTTATGGGAAAAGGATCCAATCGTCATGGGAAAGGGGTCCAACCGTAAGCGGGACAGGGATTCAACCGTTATGAGAAAGGGATCCAACCGTTATGGGAAAGGGGTCCAACTGTTATAGGAAAGGGATACAGCCATTATGGGAAAGGGATCCAACCGTTGGCTAGAAAAGTCCCGATAATTCGGCTCCGGATTTATCGATAAAATTAATACATGGACTTAGCCAAAATTCCTAATCGACTTTACCACAGTAGCGAGAAGGAGTTGGGGTATGTTATCACCCAATATTCCCTTGCACGCGTCATAGCGAAGCTTATTCGCTGTTACCGCTGTGTCACTGCATCTACATGCGGTTTAACACGGCGCAGAATCTCTGTCTCGTATTTGACGATTGTTATGTTCGAACGCAACACGACGGGGATAGGAAAGCACGACCACGTGCTTTGCTCTGCCGTTTCCATGATGGAAAGAGGCTAAAGAGTTTATCAGCGTCAATAGTGGCACGCTTTAGAAGCGTCGCACTATTACCACTCGAGTGTGACCACTCGGATGGCGGTGGCATTGGTGGAAAGCCACCACTCATGTAGCTGCCCTCGCGACGGCGTGCTAGTTAAACCGACTGTGAAGTCGAAGAAGCTTTTAGCTCACCCTCGCCTGAGTCTGACTCTCCATTATGGATTGTCAAGGCGTCAGAAGTAGGGCTAACAGAAGTGGACAATTCGAATCTCCGACCTGCTGTTGAGTCGCGGCTGTTTTGTCTGAAGCAGCGCGCTCAGTTGTAGTCGCTGCGCTCGTTGGCGCAGACGACGAGGCAGGACCCTAGCTGTCAGGAAGCATGGAAGCCTCCTGAAGGTTGGGTGCCTCTAGTGATAAGGATATATGTCCCATCAATGCAATTTGCTCATTGCCACTTTGGGGTGACGGCAGTGGCTTGTTCTTGATGTAGTTTGCAATAAGAGACAGATCTTCATCCGAAAAACAGTGGAATGGACCAGTGTTTTCTGCTGACAACCTGGCATTAGATGTCGGCATTGTTACAGAGACACTTAGCGACGGCTGCGAGTTATCGCGGCTCGTGTGCTTCGTGATGGTCTGCATGGGCGCCTTTCAGGCGACCCTTTAGCCTAACCACGTTTCGGTGGCATCGTCTCGTTTTCGATGTTTTACAAAATTGTAAAAATCGTCTTAAAGAGGAGGGGGGTGGTGTAACGGGCTAAACGTTACACGGTTCGTTAAGTGTCGAATACTTGACGGGCAGGCCTAAATGGGTACGAGGTACCTTAGGCCTGCCAATTGGGTGTGGCACATCAATGTGACCCACCCTCGTGAATGTGATATCCATGGATGGATTCACATTCAACGGGGATGACGCCAGTTGGGACTAGGCGTCATGGTGATGCTTTAAACGTACGTCATCAGCGAGCTTAAATATACATAAGCTCGCACGTAAGGACTCGCTTCTAAAGAGACGCGTATCCGATCTTTACATTAAATTAATTAATAGATAGAGTTATATTTATATATTATTCGATTAACTATAAGTCAGTCTTAAATTTACCACATCAAACTCACTGCGCGCAGGAAGACTGGAAACAGCTTTCGCGACGTAGTTAGGTGTTTGTTTTAAAGTTTGTTTCGCTGTTGTCTTAAGGCGACCGGTAACGGTTAGTACAGCGCTTCGGCCGACCAAGACCCCCACCACCGCACGCGGAGGTAAGACGGTCTAATCGCTTCCTCACGCTGCTCGAAGGTGTGTGTTTGCGAACTACGTGGCATCTACTTTGAAGTGCCCGTCTACAATAATAGTCCTGATGAATACACTTGACACCTCTTCGTCTTAAATATCCAAGAAAAACATTTCACAACTAATTCAATTGTCCACCAGTACATGCATGATATGCGTACATAGTGTTAGCGCGCGGCTTTTTAGTAGCACACAATCAGGTAGGCTTATCACTTTTCTTTGCCACTTCCTAATAACACGCGTTTGATATCGTCAAGATAGGAACCGTTTGGAAACAGTATTGTTAATGTTATTTAGTCCCACACTCTTCTTAAGGTATTTTTCTACTTTTATACAATCCGCGTCATGTCAGTTTGACATCTCGATTATATTTACGCATGGTCAAGAGGTTTGCTAGCACATATATAATATAATGATAGAAATATTGTGTTGCCGGCGTTCTTTGGAAAAAGAGGGTGATTAATACCTATGTGCCAAAAAAGCCGATTAAAGTGGCAAAGCATTTCCATTACAAACGAGATTGATTGCAATAATTGTTAATGTTCTTAAAAGTCAATCGAATATTTTTATTAGCCTAATGTTGACTATGTCCTTCAAATCCTTTCATTATTCCAAAAAAATAGTCACATTAGATTTCCGTAGCCTTGGTAAGATCGAGCTATCAAAACTTATCTGCTGTCAAAGGCGCAGGCTCAAATTAATTCCGGCAAAGTCCATTCAGGTCGAATCGAACTCTTTCTGCCTTTTCGCCGGCGGCTCGTTTAAGTCAAAATTGTTCTGCCGTTTTGGAGGTTCCGGCGATTTTTTTATCAAGGCTTTTTTCAGTCGTTGAGTGACGGATTCCAATTTCTTGATCTCTTTCTTTGTTCCCTTCTTACCATCAAGTTTTAGGGTGGAAAGCATCGTCTCAATTGCTTTCAGATCATTCGAGGATGTTGATTTGACGAAACCGACCCACCCAGAAAAGGCCGGGTTTTTGAATAGGTCTTGTTCCGTCGGGCTGAGCTCTAAAATGCTGAAAACGTCATCCGCATTTTTCGTTTCTTCTACCCACTTCTTGTACTGGAAGTGTAGTAATGCATGGGCAATTGCTTTCGTATAAGTACTTTTCCGCCACCAAGAGCACCCACAAGAGCATTCTTACTCTTAAAATCTGATGACAGTCGGTCAAGCATCATATCGTATGCCTCTTCCTGAGAATTGGATCGTTTCTCGACAAAATCGACCCACTGGGAAAAGACCGGACTGTTAAAAACGTTGTCATTTGTTTCGTCGAGCTTCAAAAGCTTAAATACTGCTTCCTCATCTTTGTTGCCCTTTTAACCACATCTCGACCTGTATGTTAAGCAGTTTTGAAACGACGTCTTTTTTTCTCGGTACGTTCATTCCCGGAACCAAAGCACTGGCAAGAGCATGATCGTTCGTAAAATGACGTGTCAATAACTTTAACATCGCCTTAGTTGCCACTTCCGGTGAATCCACGTACAAATCGCGTACATATTTCATCCAATTGGTAATGTGTAGTCCTTTGAAAATGTCAGCGCTGGCGGTTAAATCAGTAAACAATTTCTTGATATTATTAATCAATTTAAGCTTTTCAAGCCTCTGGTATTGGGGAAGGTTAGTGAACATGTGAGGTTGAAATTCCGTCAGTATGCCGGCATATTGCATCAGCTCGCTGACCTCGCTCACCTCGATCGGCGTGTTTCACTCTGCGAGCTTGTCGTCAGAGTAATTCGTGGCCGCGTTTGAGACTGAGGCTACAGTGGCTGTAATACCTGATGTAGTATAGTCGTAGGTGCTGGGCATGGCATCCTCACGCATCGCGGAGGCCACGCTCGCAGCTGACCATGCAATCAGCGCGGTAACAATCATCATCGTCGAGGGCTGCGCTTGACGCAAGTGCACAGTGGCAAAATGTAAAGTGGGAAGGCTGGATGTGACCTCGACTGGCTTCCAAGACCTCTAATTGGTAGGAAAGGCAAACATCAATACCGCCAAACTCGCCTGACTATTCTTGAGGGTATTGACCTTTCTTGCCCACCGTAGAAGTATCTCATAGGACCGAGCACATCGTGAACTAGAGGTGGTACCCAGACTCAGACTCGGTGGGTAATTACCCATACCCATACTCATGGGTTGGGTATGGGTAATTGGCCTCAATTAACCAACTTACCCATGGGTACCCATGGGTATATGTACCAATTTTTTGGGACATACCTGCTCGTATTGATTTCTAATTGTTAAATGTATTGGTGACTCATTACGCCTTTTTGGTGAAAGTCTACCGCACATATGATGCAAAGCAACTGGAGCCGGTGGCGCAGGCCATGCTAAGCAAAACCTAATATGTAACGGGGTGAGCCCGTTACATAATATTGACACTTATATGAAGTGTCAATAAAATATTATTATAACTAATAATATTTTGACAATATTACCTTTTCTTATAATATTGTTCCTAGATCTCCTTGAAGTTGGAGATGCCCTCTTATTGGTTGATATGGGCCATCATATCAACCAACGCGCTGACCAATGACCGATGGACGCGCGCAATGCGTGGAGGGCAAGTTGTCGACATACATAGTTGTAGTTTAATATAGTTAACATAGGTTATAACAGATTAGTTTTATTAAGATAGTTAACTATATTAAATACAGTTTTCTTTTCCTCTACTTCTAAGCGTTTGTTTAGAAGTAAAGCTTCCTCTGCCTCTTGTGTAAGAGAGGTAATTGAGGCACCTGCTTTCACTGTAATCAGTAAAAGTAGACTATACTGTAATCAGTATAGTCGGAGGGTGCCCCATTACACCTGGTAGCACTTCGTGGTCCGTTCAGCGACCACCGCACCACCCGCTATGGAATCAGCGGGTGATGAACGTCATCACGCAACGCGTGATGATTTCCGCCATTTGAGTGACCTCGAATGGAATGCGGTTCAGCGTATGGCTGAAACCATCGGCAACCCTGCCGTTGGTGCCATGTTGCTCTCTCTTAGCGGAGACGACCAACATGCAACCATCGCCAAGTTCATACAACATGAACTTGACGAAGTTGTAAAGAAACTCACCTTGCTAGAGGAGCAAGGTTCTCAACAGGTTGAACTGTTGAGAGAACAAGGCGCTCAACAAGCTGACTTGTTGATGCAGCAGGGTGCTCAACAGTCTGAACTGTTGAGACAACAGCAGTCTAGTCCTGTTGCTGCCGGGTCGACGTATGCACGTCGACCCGAGTCCTTGAAGATTGATGTCTCCAAGTACAAGGCAGTCGAAAGTGACTCCTTGTTGAGATGGTTCGTCGAGCTCGACGATGCCATTTTAGATGAAGGTCAAGTTCGCCATGTCGAACTTGGCAGGACGTGCCAAAGCTTGGGCCTTAGGGCTCAAACTGCACGACCCATACGTTTTCCCAACGTATGACGTCTTCAAGGCGCGGCTCAAACACACGTTTGAACCGCCTCGCGCCAAATTCAGGGCTCGTGCTGAGCTCCTGGATTTGAAACAGGGTAAGCGTGATATACACGCTTACGCCCAACACGTACGATACCTCGTTAGCTGTATCGTACTGAACCCAATCGATGAACACACGCAGGTTACTGTGTTCATCAAGGGTCTGACAGATGGTCCTGTCAAGACCCACCTGTTCCGCTTGGAGCTAGAATCGCTGGATCAAGCGATCTCTGCAGCGGAACAGGAGGACTTTAGCCTGCAACAGGCTCACGTCCACTCGAGGTCCTATCGTCCACCGAGACGACAGGAGGGCGGAGGTCCAGAACCAATGGACCTCTCCTATGTAGAGAGCGAGCGACCTCGCTCTCCAGGGTACAAGCGATTGCAAAAGTGCAATCACTGTCAGAAGTTGGGCCACTACGCTTATGAGTGTAGTGCCCCACGCCCAGTGTCTCGTAACACTGGGAGTGACGATCGACCGTCTGCCAAGAAGGGCCAGAGACGTGGGTCCCACGTTGCTGCGAAATCGAAACAACGTGGTGGACCATCAAAAAACGGTCGGGGTCAGTAGGGGCGGAGCGCCCTACTGATCCAGCAACGTCAAGAGAGTTCTCGGGACTCTTGACGAAGGTTGCTCCCAACACACAGTCACTGTGTGTTGCCGCTCCCAGTGATGAGGTATCCCTCATCACATTGAAGATCGAAGTGACAAAGAACATGTCACTTCGCGCCCTAGTTGATTGTGGGGCTTCGAACAACTTTGTTCGACGCCATTCGCTAGATGATCGTAGGCTCAAATATGTTGAGCGCGAGACCCCTCCAACGAGGATGACGGTGCGCCTTGCAACTGGCGCATCCGTAACAGTAAAGAAACGTGTAGTGGGAATTCACTACACGCTTGAAGGCAAAAAGTACGATGATGATTCATCGTACTTGATCTGGATGACAAATTTGATGTCATCCTAGAATTATCATGGCTCAGAAGGTACAAGCCATGGGTCAGCTGGCAGCATCGAACCGTGAAGATGCCTGCCGCTTGTTCATCAGATGGCCATCTGATGAATGTCTTGGAGCGTTCACAAGCGTGTGAATGTACTACGAGTGAGTGTGATGGCCTCACTTGTGGTTTGGTCGTTAGTACGACTGCACAAGAACTCAGCGTGACAGACAGTCACGCTGTGAAGCAAGCTGCCGGCGGCTGTGCACAAGCACAGGCAGCGCCGAAGGTCCACCACTCGAATAAGTCGAGTGGACCGGGACATGAATGCTCGCCTAGAGGGCAGCGTTCACCGAAGAGTAAACCGGTTGCCCAGAAGCGGCAACACGGTAATCCTAGATCAACTGGAGAGTTGATCGTAGAGGATCTCGCTGTGGTTGCGCCACCACAGCTAGAGGAAGTCGATGGAACAGGTTCCATCGAGCCTGCGGGAATAAGTCCCCAGGAAATAATCACTGAGGGAATAAGTCCCCAGTGCCTTGAGGGAATAATTCCCCAGGAAGTAACCGAGACGTTGAACGTCTTGGTTAATGACGGATCAAACGTAGGCGCTTATACGCTTGATCTGATCGCGCCTCCGAAGTTAACTTCGGAGATAACTCAGTTGCCTACGCTAGAACCTAAATGGTTCTTGCGTGATCTGCGTAGTGGCAAAGTCAAGCAGATCTGTGTGCTCGTCGCAGAGGACGAGTACATGACTGACATTCGGTCAGCAACAGTTTTTGCCGAGAACGAACGGGTTCTCAGCAGCTTATCAATGGACGAGAGTGTACTTGATGAGAAGACTCGGATTGAACGATATACATCGCAATCCTGGGAGTCGCTGAAGTCAAATCTTTTGTACAAGGATTTTGTCGAATTCAAGGATGTATTCCTTGAATCCGTTCCGTGCGAGTTACCTAAGGATAAAGGTACTCGACACGAGATCGACCTTGTTCCTGGCACAAAATATTGTGTCATGAAGCAGTGGCCACTGCCTCGGGAACAGGTCGAGGCGATCGACAAGTTCTTTGCCGATCGCCTAGCAGCGGGCCATGTGAGGGAGTCAACTTCACCTCACAGCTCTCCGACCTTCTGTGTGCGCAAGGCCACAGGAGGGTGGCGGATAGTGCACGCGTTCAATAAGTTGAACGCTGCAACGATACCGCGCAAACGCCGATACCGAGAAAGGACGTAATCATAGATGGTATGTCTAAGAGTACCATCTTTTCGTCCATGGATCTGATGGATGGTTTCTATCAGATCCTAATGCGTGAACGGGACATCCCGTACACAGCAGTGAGCACTCCCATTGGTATGCTCTGGGAATGGTTGGTGATGCCGCAAGGGCTTAGTAATGCACCAGCCACATTCAATAGATGTGTTTCACATCTATCGAGACGGTGCGCGAATTCGCACCGAGTTACTTCGATGATGTGTTCGTCCATAGTCGAGCTATGTACGGGAAAACAGACGTGGAAGTCCATAGACTTCACGTCCGTAAGGTTCTTACAATTATGCGAGAGCATAAGTTGTACGCCAACCTCAAGAAGTGTATATTCGCAGCTAGCGAAATACCACTTCTTGGGTGCATCGTCGGAAAGAACGGCGTACGCCCTGATCCAGAAAAGATCAAGGCGATCACCGACTGGCCAGTGCCAGTCGATGTCAAAGGACTAAGGAAGTTCCTTGGGCTAGCGGCGTACTTGCACAAGTACTCGCGCAATTACGCCGAAATGACAGTACATCTTTCTTGTTTACTCAAGAAAAATGTAAAGTGGAACTGGAACGCTGATTGTCAGCGTTCCTTTGAACGTATCAAGCAAAGCTTGATGCAATCGTCAGTGTTGGCGATTGCCGATCAAGACAGACCATTTCATGTGGTCTGTGACGCCAGTGATTTTGCAATCGGCTGCGCACTGATGCAATATGATACAGACGGCGCCGAGCGTGTCGTCTGTTATCAATCGCGTCAGCTGCAACCGGCTGAGCGCAATTACCCGGTGCATGACAAAGAACTCCTTGCCATGAAGTATTCACTGGCTAATTTTCGCGTCTATCTCTTAGGAGATAGACCGTTCATTGTATATACAGACCATGCGTCACTACGCACGGCTGTAAATAGTCCACACCTCTCGCAACGAATGGCGAGATGGTTGTCATTCTTCGCGGAGTACAACTTCTCCGTGGAGTATAAGCCGGGACGACTTAACGTCGTCTCCGATGCCCTCTCACGTCGGGCTGACCTAGAGCCGACTGTGCAATCCGACAGTGATGTGAACACCACTGTCGCCACGCTGAGTACCAGCGTCTTGTCGTCGAGTAAACTCGACGACATTAGAAGGGCATGCGCACAAGATAATGATCTTGTACGCCTGATGGAGTACCTCAAGGACCCATCCACGCAAGCTAAGAAGCGCTTGCCTGCCATGTATCGATCTTCTCTAGATCGAT